TAATAAGTATATACTAACTATAGTAGTACTATATAATAATAAGATATTACTATATATAGTAGTACTATATATATATATATATATATATATATGTTTTTACGTATACAAATACGCTCAAGTACGCTTAGCCTGGGAACTAAAACCCCAAACGCGCAGCTATGACAGCTTGTCCGTAGATTATACGTTGGAAAAAACTTTTCCTGAAGGACTATACGTAAAAATACAATTCCCAACATAACAACTTGTACCACAGAATAAAATGCAGCAGTGTTGCGACAAAGTCTGTGCATGAGGTACTCGTACACGAGCTTCACACCCACACAGACAGACAAACACCCGCCCCATGCACCTCAGCGCAGTAACACAGCACCGAGCAGCTAATGTTCACCTACCCCTGACTTATCTCCTTCAGTCAGCAAGCGCACAGCAGCTCTAAGACCGACATTCAAGCGGTCTGTACTAGACCTGTCACTCGTAGCGTCCGACGAATATTTGTGTGAGCTGAGCCGCTCCATGACATGCGATAGCGTCTGTTGGCTGTTTGCCCATGTGTTCAAGACAACTGGCGTGGCACCGTTAATGATGAGAGAGAGCTGGCATCGCGGAGGGGGAAGACAATGAGGTGAAGCATTAGTGATACGGATAGCAATCCTCCGTAGACTATAAATACATCATCCAAGTACATTTGTCAATGCGCGAGGGTTGACCGCGGATGTGCTATTTGAAGTGACAACTCTAAACTCTAAACTCCAAACCCTAAAACAGTACAATGGTTATCATAGATACATATTATTGTATTGTGTTGTCTCTGTACTCAAGCATCCGCATTGCTGGTGTGTGAAGGGCAATGCTGATATTGATTTCAAATGGACTTGGCGGCACCACCAACCTTTAAAATACGCGCTAAACGACGTCAAAGATAGAACACTTGAACACGATAGGACAGCGACTTGGGTACTTATATTATTGCTCAGATGAAGACCACACATACCACATACCCGTTTGTCGCCATGAAACAAATCAAAGACGACCCGCGCGTAATCGCATACGCTTTGTAGTATAGCAGACCAGATTTCGGGTGTGATCGGTCCATCGAGATCTAGGAGGACAACGAATGCGCAAATAGTATTGTAGTTTAGTCATTTAGGACAGGTGCAAGGTGTAACATATCCGACTGCGAATGATTGGTTGCAATTTGACATTTTACGACTGGTGAGGCAGCAGAATAGACTTTCACCTCTGCCAGAACCCATACACAATTCAGAAGAAAAGTAGGTATAACTTTAAGACAGACACAATTAAAAAGCAAACACGATTTAACTTTAAGTTAAGACCGTATCGACAGTTTCCTGTTACAAATTTATGGATATATTTTAAATACATATCAAAATTGTTATATATATATATATATATATATCTATATATAATAATTGTGCGTATTTTTGTGTTTCTTTATGTATATGTAAAAAGCATGTTTCCACATATACATACATGTACAGACACATACACACACAACAAACACTCACAGACACACACGCATATATATATATATATATGTATATATATATATATATATATATATACATATATATATATATATATATATATATATATATGTG